GGAACTTTATGCACAAAAACAAAAGCTTGACAGAAAATGTTCAGCATTTGAAGAATGTATTGCTGACCCATCAACCTGACATCCTGCCAGTGATCAGGAAGCAAGGATCTACATATTTGCTTTGGCATCTGCTCAGTCACTAACTGCAGCCTCTTCACTAAGATTCAACTAACAGGTCATGTCCTCAGCCATACCCACAATTCAACTGTCCATCACTGCCTACAGAGTTAGTGACACCACATTGGAGAGTTCAGGACATGGACAAGATCACTGATCTCCACAGACCTGTCCACACAATGCACCCTTCCTCGCCTCCCCCTTCATTTACATTGTCTAGGAACAGCTTCTTACTCCTCAGTCCTTGGCCTAAAGGCCGACAACTACACTGGGTTTCCCGACTATCCCAGGACCCTAGGTGTTCATCACACTCCGACAACCCCCATATACTAACAAACAGCCCCACGGATTTTTTTTCTCATTCTGCATAAGGAGGGTAAAAAAGAAAAAAAAGCGTTAAGATGGCAAGATCCAAGTAGCTTTTTGTTTTGTTTTTAATGAATCCTTTACATTTTCTAAAATCTAATACAAGGAGTTTTATAAGTGTTCTGTATGGCCAGAGTTTCTGTGGGTTTTTCTTTGTATGAAATAGTATCTTTTTTAAAAAAGGTTTTTCACAGAGTGTTGCACACCTGTAATTCCAGAACTTTGGAAGTAAAAGTAGGAGAAACAGAGGTTCAAAATCCTCAGCTATGTAATTAGTTCAAGATTAGCCTGGCTTACCTGGGCCCTTGTCTCAGACAAGCAAACAGGAGATGGTGGGAGAGGGACAGACAGACAGACAGACAGACAGACAGACAGACAGACACACACACACACACACACACACACACACACACACACACACACACAAATTCCAAATAAGACTGCAGGCAAAGGCAGGAACTATACTGTGAGTTATAGAGTACTTCGGACAACACAACGAGACTATCTATGATAGCTTATATTCATAATCTGTATCCTAACATTTGTTCAGTGAAAGCATTTATATTTTTATATTTTAAAAATTAAACCTCAAATTTCTAACCTAAATAAAATTTGCCCTATGCCTCTATCTTAGTTACTTTTCTACTGCTATGATAAAGCACTATGGCCAAAGCAACTTGATTTGTAGTTGATCATACAAGGAAGCTGGACCAGAACATGAAGACAGGAATGGATGCAGAGGCCATGGAGGAGTGTTGCTTACTGGATTACTCTTCTGGCTTGCCCAGCCACTTCTTAGAGGACCCAGGACCATCCGCCCAGGAATGGCTCCACCCACAGTAAGATGAGCCCTTCTTCATCCATCAATAAAAAAAATGCAGCACAGACTACTGACAGGCCAAGCTGGCAGGAACATTTTCTCAGCTGAGGTTCTCTCCTCCCAAATTACTCAAGCTGCCATAAAAACAGCCTCCAAGCCTGACTAATCCCCCCAAATGCAGTGCCCCAGCATCCCCATCAACACACTACCTCATCTTTCCTGCTTACTGAACCGTAACATGTAAACCACCAATGGTGGATATAGTACAATCTATGCCTTATTTCTTTTCAAATACAAACTTTGTTCTGAAAGACTAATGTTTAAACTCCTCTATGCAACAGGCATCCAAAATGGCAACACATAGGACTCATTTATTTTTTTATCCTCACTTTTCAAATAATTCAGGAATCTCAAGTTAATTGTTTGAAAAACAGCATATGACTGGTTTAAGACAGAATATCAATGTCTGTGCTTCAGAAAAGCCCATGTGGCAGAGATGAATTTACCAGGAAGCTTTACCATTTGAACACAAAACATTAACTGGCACACAAATCTTTTTTTAACAGTATAAATCTTTTAACTTGGAAAAAAATGGCTCTCTGCAGCATTTTTGACTAATAATCACTTTGCTACACAACACTCAAATCCGCACACTAAATATCCCCACGGTGCCTTTAAAAATCATGCTGGCTTGGGAAAAACTTCCTTCATCCCTCACTTGTGGCATGCCAGCTGTCAACCTGTGCTTCTATCAGGGCGAATGGCCTGGAGCTGCCTGCAACTCCATTTCAAATTTCCTGCTACTTAGAAAAGTTTGCTTAACCTCACCAGCTTTGAGAGAGATGATGTCCAAATCTATTTTGGCTGCTCAGAGTATTTTTTGAATTTTATTATGGTTGTGTGTATATGGGGGGGGCTAAGGAGCACAGAGCCCTAGCTCAAGGGCGGAGGTCAGAGGACAGCTATGCAGCAGGGTCACTTCTCTCCATCCACCTTTATGTGGGTTCTGAGGACTGAACTTTGGGTGGTCAGGCTTCTGTGAGCTGGCAGCAAGTGCCTCTGCTTCCTGCTCAGGATTTTTTCTGCTAGTTGTCTGGGTGACTTTTTAGTATGTAATTACATGTTTGAAACCAAATTTTGGAGAAATGACCCAGTATTCTACATTGATCTCATACTGTTTCATATTTAAAATTGATGCTCAGCTCTGCCTAGGGTGATTTCATCTATTCATTCATTCATTCATTCATTCAAGTATATTACTTGCCTACTATGAGCTGGGCTCCAGGACTGTAGTAAAAGTAAAAAACTGATAGCTACTTTTGAACACATTTTAAAATCTTGAAGATGTAATTAAAAATTCTACTTTGTGACTAAAGAAAAAATTAAGTCTCTTAAATAAAGTTACAAAACCACCTAAACTTTTGCCAAGTCTTGTAACCTCAAGCGTAGGAACTAAAGATTCATGGGTAATGGAAGCTTGTGATTTAACCAAATGCCTGTCTTAAAGAGCTTTGAGTAAGAGTCCAAGATTACTTACCTTGTTTTTTTTCCCATTACATATTCCCATCTATCCCCAAAGTAATCAATATCAATACATGATTTATTATTAAGTGATACACAAAATCTTAATAAGGATAATAGACCCATCTTAGCCTCTGTCTAAGTTTATAATCTCTGTAACACTGTGCAATGTTGGTCAGGAAAAAAATATTCATCAAGGAATATTTCCTGTCTTAAACCTAAGGAGTTCCAACTCTCTTAGAGATCTGGAAACTACAAGTTTTAAAAGCTAGTAAAACCAGTGAGATTCTACAGTAGTTGCTTTATTTGCCACAGTTGTAGTTCTAAAATTCCATTACCCATTTAAATCTTAGTCTAGAAATGAGCAAAGAAAAAAACTGGTGTTTAAATTGGTCTTTGTGGGTTAATTAAGACACTAGGTAAGACTCTTGGGATCAGCCTCATTTCAATCCCTTGGCATCTTCCTTCTCAACCATTTCCTCCGCAGGGAGCAGAGACACATAAGACACATAGTATAACTGTATATAAAGTGATTGCTTTTGCTACTTATATGTAACTGAAAGTGGGTATTTGTCATGTCTGCTGACCTGAGGAAGTAAACAGCATGTAGACACAAAAAAGTTACTTTTACTAAAGACCTTCAATTACTATTATTAAAAACCTTCTCACCAGTGCTTTAATACCTCTTGAATCTGGAACTTTAAAATACATTAAGCAATAATAAAAATACAGCTCACCAACTATCCTTCAAAGTAAGTAACAAAAGTATTATTTGAAATCCCACTTAGTATTTTACACTGAATTCATCAGGATATTACCTTGTATCAGGAAAGAGTCTGAATTTTAACAAGTAAGAATTCCTCAAAAAGAAACTAAAATAGAAACTCCTGTTCTATCTATCTTGCAGGCCAAAAAAAAAAAAAAAGCAAATAGAATTTAGTGGAAATCTACTATAAACAAGATTTCTACAAGATACAGCCCATGTTACCTGTCTTAAAGAATACCTTGCTCGCCAGGCAGCGGTGATGCATGCCTTAATCTCAGCACTTGGGAGGCAGAGCAAGGTGGATCTCTGAGTTCAAGGCCATCCTGGCCTATACAGAAATCCTGTCTCTTGAAAAATCAAAAATAATTAAAATTTAAAAACACCTTGCTCATGATACTTGCAATATAACTAACTGAGGGGAGAAAACTGGCTGCTGTTATAAAAAGAAAAACGAGAATATTTTATTATATAAAATAACCATGGGACCCAGCATGATGGCCTGCTACTTGGAAGTCTGAAGCAGGAGGCTCATTAGTTAAAGGGCAAGAATGGACAACTCAGAAAGGCTCTGCCATACACAAACAAACAAATGGCTGAGGCTCACTGGTTGAAGGGCTACCCTTGCAAGTTGTGGACCCTAAGTACACTCCCCCAGTACCCAACCCCAAAGAAACCTCATAAACACACAACTGCTGGCGGCAGGCAATGAGGGCACCCTGTTCGTATGTAAACAAAGGAAAATTCTTCTGTCTCCTTATTCTAATTCTGGCAACCAAAATCAACCCAACTACGGAGTTGAGCCAAGGACTTCATAGAAAAAAAATATAAAAAACCGGTCAGGAGCAACTGGTTTTGGGCCACTAGAAACAAAGTCCTTCGGGATGCGACTCATCAGTGGTTTCTCTCCTGGAAACTCTTTCACCAAGCGAGAAAACCGATTCGAAACCATCAACTTTGCACACTAGTTCCCGGCACCTAAGGCCCATCCGTTAAAAGGAAGCAGTTCGGCTGAGGACCACAATGGGACATCTAGGCCCATTGTTCTGAGAACCTCAGGACCAGCGCCGCTCTGCAAGGCACGCGAACCCGCACAGGTGTGGGGGGGCCGGGGGGCGGGGGCGAACAGGTGTCCTCAGGGTCACCGCTGAGGGACGAGGGGCCCAACTGGAAAGAGATGCAAGAAAGGAGCGGAGGACAAAGTCGCTGCCGGGGTTTAGCAGCGGGCGTGCCGGGCTAGCCCCGGGCGGGGGGTCCGCCGAGGCCCGGGACGTCGATCCCAGGCGGGGGTGAAAGTCTGTCCGTGCACAGAAGGACAGACCGGCGTACAGAGCCCCGAACAATGGCCCGAGCTCCTCCAAGAGGAGACAAAAGCGCTGAGCCGCGGGGTGCGGGCCCCGGGGCGGCGGTTACCTGCGAGAGCTGCCGGGGATGCGGGCAGCCGAAGAGCGCGGAGCTGGAGCTGAAGCTGATGGCTCCTCGGCGGCTGAGGACGTGCTGGGGGACCGGCCTGTCCAGGGGCAGCACCGGCAGCTGGTAGCATACTTCCATTGAACACGCCCGCCTTGCCTCCGCGCGGCGCCCGCCACTCCGCGGCCGCCCGCCCGCCCCTGCGCTGCGAGGGGGCCGCGCCGCGGGGACCGGGGACCCAGGGAGGCGAAGCGCGCGCGGGGCGGGCGGGCGGGCGGCGCTGGCGACCGCAGACGCCTCCCGGCCCTCGGCGCGGCTGGCGGCGGGAAGGGCTGCAGCGGGCGACCCGGGACCGGGGAGGGGGGCCGAGCGGACAAGGCGGGCGGCGTTAAAGGGGAACCGAGCCGTCCCCGGGGCTCCGGGGCCGGGACGACGGGGGGGGCGCGGAGCAGCGAGCGAGCTCGGCCGCCTGATCCCTGCCCCTCCCCTCCCCTCCCCCGAGCCTCCCTCCACTCCGCCGCCGCCGCCGGCGCGAGGGAGCGAGCCCGGCGTAATTCACACTTTGCAGCAGCGGACCCTGCGCCAACCACGGCCGCCGCCACCGTGACGTCACGACGCCGCCGCCCCGCGCCGCCGCCGCCGCAGCGCCCCGGAGCCCGCTGGCGGCCAGCTCTCAGCGCCGCGCCCCGCGCCGGGCCCGCCCCGCCCGCCTCCCGCAGCTCCCTCCCCGCAGCCCGCCGCGCGTGCGCGCGAGTGTAGCGCGGGGCATCCTCGGGAGCACCGATCCCGAGTTTGGTCGGCCTACGGGACAGGCGCTGGGTCGTGCGGCTGAGCCCACGCCCCCAAAAGCCCGAAGCACCGGGCGTCCTCTCGGCGCTCCGCACCGCGCGCTCCCCCTCCTGGAGTTCCAGTCCCGGGGCTTCGCGGGAGTCCGCTGCGACAGTGACGTCAGCAGGCCTCGCGGGCAGGGTCCTCCCGCAACGTCACTGTCCGTGCCCTAGCCAGGCGAGACTCCAGGGAGGCTTGCCTGCCGTGGCAGGTGAGGCCCCGGGCCATCGGGGCCTGCCTGCGGGGCAGAGAGAGAGAGGGGGGACAAAAACTGCAGAGAGGAGGGTCTTTGCTTGGAGGGAAAACACCAGCGAGGCTGAGAAAGAAGTGAAATTCTGTCACCAAGAAAAAAAAGATGAGAAATGACGACATTGAGAAGACAAAGGAGACAGAAAGTTCCCCCAGTCAGTCGTATCCCTTCTTTGTTAGCCTTGCTGTTTGGGATGTAGGAAAAGCTCTTCACCTGTTTTGGTAAAATGAGGGTATAATTTGCATGCTCTTTGCTAAGTTTCTGTCCCAGACTGCCTAAGCTTTTCAGCAGGAACTCAGTGTTCCTGATGCTTTCGGCATCAGATACATCAGCTGGAAAGAACAAGCTCTCCCATTCTGGCAAAATGAACCGTTTCTCTGAGCCTGTAGTCTCCAGTTATTCGAGATGATTGCTGGCAAGGTGGCAGGCCTTTCGAAGTACAGTGCCAAGCCTGAACTTAATGATGACATAAATTGAGTACTGAGAGCACATGATCAGATAAATGGACAAAGGTATATTCTCTTGCTGTTTAAACAGCGTGCTCCGTGTGTTTTTTTCTACTTGCCTGGCCGTCGTTGTTATACGATCCCTCCTGTGTTGTGGAATTTGCCTTCACTAGATGGTGAAGTGCTAACTAGGCTGATTTTAGTGCAGCAACTGATGTCACTGTCTTTGGAATCCTAATTATTCCCTGACACGCAGTAGATGTGTTGAGCATCTCATTTGGGATTATGCTTCGTATTTTCACCCATTTACTCTTTAGAGAATCCTGGTCAGCCAATTGACTAAGTTGGAGGTAGACTCAGAAACAAACTCACCCCACACCTTGCATAGGTAACTCCCAAGAACTAACCTTACGTGATATGTACTCTACATCTGTTGGGCATGGCGGCACACATGTAATTGTAATTCATGGAACACTGGGGCAGCAGGATGAAGAGCTGAGTGACAAGGTCGGCTCAGACATTATAGTGACTTCAAAACTAGGCAAACTATGAAGTGGAACCCTGTCCCAAACAACAACAGAAACCATTCAGAGCCTCCACACAAAGCTGATACTGGTGAAAATTTGTGTTGAATAAACTGTACCACATTTTTCGTGGAGCCCATTCTATATGGAGAGATACCTTGATCAGTCTTGGTCATGCCTCAATGAGATGATGGGACAGACTTAGTAGACTTCCTAGGAGAGACCTTACCCTCTCCGAGGAGCAGGTGGGAGGTGGGGGGAGGGAAGTGGGAAGAATAGGAAGAGAGGAGAGAGGGGGAACTGGGATTGGAAATAAATAAATAAATAATATATCAAATTTAATAACAACCAAGTGTTTGGTTAGTTAAAAAATGAAGACTTACCACTAAGTAAGCAGCTAAACATTGTTATCTTCCTCCATCAGGGTATATTACAATGTACCTGTTTGAGCCAAGAAGCCCTGGCAGATATTGTACATGAAGGTGTTTTTACCCAACACTAAAGTCACCAGTAATTTGATCCAATTTCTACAGATAAGCAGTTTCCAAAACTAAGTCATTTGCCATAGTAAACTCTGGTTTGACTTAAGAGCCGTAAGTTTTCCACCACCCATGCTGTGTATCAGGGAAAGAAATTCTTTTTTTTTTTTCAGTGTTCTTAAGAAGGCATTAGGGTTCATCAGAGAAATACCAGAAAGGATGGGGGTGTTAAAAACATTTTAAGGGATTGGTTCAAGATTGTGAAAACTGAGATCTGGGGAGGAGACAAACAGAGTTGATTTTGCGTTCTGGGATCTGAAACCTCTAAGAGAAAACTGCTGAACTTAAAACTCAGGCAGGATTTCTATGTTGGAATCTTTAGAAAGAATTTCTGCTTCTTCAGTAAACCTACATCTTTGCTGTCAAACCCTCAACTGAGTAGATGAGGCCTGGCTACTTTGATGAGGATAACCTGCTTAAAATCAACAGACTATAAGTGTTGGCAACATCTTGGCCTGTGCCATCCTGACCTAATTAGACACATAAAATGAACCACCAAAGGGAGAAACTTTAAACGTAAATAATGAAAGAAATCTCATTACCTAAAAATGATAAAAACCTAAAAATAAACATAAAGAAAGCCACGGTTCATATAAAGGATGTTTTTATATGACTAGAATACAGTAGGCTTGGATATTTAAAAGAATGTCCTCTGAATATGAAAATTTGATGTGAGATGTCCTTCTGTATGCTGTGAATATGTGTTACTTTTATTGATTGATAAGTAAAGCTGTTTGGACAATGTCTCGGGCATATTACTGACTAGCTCTCACAATTAAATCAACCCATTTTTACTAATCTGAGTATCACCACGCAGCCAGGAATGTTCTAGCATCTAACTCTTTTAGCAGCTACGTGGCATCTCTCAGACTCCACCTTATTTCTCTCCATATCTTTGTTTGAATTTCCCGCCTGGCTCTATTCTGCCTGGCCATTGGTCAAGTCAGTTTTATTTACCAAGCAATAAAAGCAACATATATTCACAGGATACAGAAGGACAAATATTTAGCCCTTGAAAGTTATTATTACCAACTATTTAGGATAGTAAGAAAATGTAGGTTAGTAATTAGTCACTTATTACAATTGAACTTGTAGTCATATTAAGTATGTTTTCAAGATGAAACAATTTTGAAAGATGGGTGGTCTTCAAACACTTCACATATCTACAGAATATAGCATTTAAGATGTTTTAATAATATAGGTTCTTTTCTTTTTTATGACAATGAGACATGTCTGCTCCTGTTAGCACCAATCTATTTCAGAGAAGATGATGAGCATCGAAGAAACTCCAAATAGAACTTACTTTTTTTTTGGCAAAGGTTAGCCGATGGGTAAAAAGCACCCTTGCTTCAACTGCTGACATATGCTGTCCAAACTGGACAAGCAGAACACAAAAGAAAGGACTGTCAAACTTGGCCAAGACAAGGTAGAACAGCCCTTCAGAATATCCTGCTTCACAGAAAAGTCTGTCAGATATGCTAGGCCTGTAGGCAGAAGATGGATGCCTCAATGTTGCAGAGGAAACTTAGGTGACTGTCCAGGCAGCCCGGTGGTTCTGTCATTTCTCACTTTTTTTGGAAGTCACTTGCTTGCACTTCCTGCTTACTCGAGTAATATTATTTCCTTCTCGGTACCATTATAGTTTTCTTTGTTACCAGAATCTGAAAAGAAATTCACTAAAGAAATTTGAAGTGTATAATGTTGAGAGACAAAAACAGATAGCTTTGATAATGCAAGTTAGAATAGAAAGTGAATTAGGTACTACCTTTTAGATTCATCAAGAAAGGACAGATATGGAGTATTTCCTCTGAATTTGTCAATTTTTAGTGGACTGATATATTTCTTGCCTATATACATTGTATATCATTATTGTACTTATTGTATATAGTTTTTATTATATTAGTCATAACGTTCTTTATTTGAGACAAAAAAGGGGAAATGTAGTGGTATCTTGTGTATACTCTAACAAATAGAGCTTGACTGAAAATCAGAGGGCAGAGCTAGCCCCTAGTTAATCACAGAGGTCTGGAGGTCTGTACGGATGGGGTGATATGGCTGGGCAGAGAGAGGAAGTGATAAGGTGGGAGGAGACAGGAGCTCAGTCTCTTTCCAGTCTGAAGATTTCATAGAGGTAAGAGCTCTAGTGTCTGGCTGCTCTGCTTCTCTGAACTTTCAGCTTTCACTCCCTAATATGTGACTCTGAGCTATTATTATTAAGACCTACTAGAACTCTATTACACTTAACTTACTAAAAAAAAAAAAAAACCTGCCATCCACCAAGTTAATCTATATACCTACATCATCGTGGAGCATAGTCCTATGTGTTTTAACTAGAAATGCTGGTTCTAAAACTCCCAGAAGAAGATGTTAGGTTAGCCACAACAGTCATAAGATTTTAAAAACACAAACAAACAAACAAACAGGAAAACAAACGAGGGAATTCCAGAGTTGGATCAAAGAAGCAGGATCATTGAAAGTGGTACAGAAAGGACTTAGTATAGAGATTTGTTATAATACTACAGGCTTTCTTATGGTGTGGGAAGGCCCAGGAGGAACGATGGCAGGCTCATGGAAAAGCCACTAAACCGGGAGCCGGAAGGGGAACTACTCAAGAGG